CCGGGGGCGCGCGGGGGCGGCGGGGCCGGGCGCGCCGGTGACAGCTCCGGGCCGGCGCCGCGGCTGGCTCCCGGCCTGGCTCCCTCACACTCAACTTACTTCTTTCTGGCTCTCTGGAAAGGGGAAGCGCCATCTTTGCGAGGCCGGCCCCGAGGTCTTTTGTCTGCGGCTGCGGGGCTCGGGGCCGGGGCTCCGGGCTCCTCGGGGGGGGGTGGCGGCGGCTGCGGCTGCTCCGCGCTCTTGTCCTCCTCCGACGACATCCTAGTCACCAGGAAAGACACATGGATCCCGGTCCTCCTCCTGGGGGGCTCCTCCCGCCGCCGCCGCCGCCGCCGCCGCGGCCGCCGCCGCCGCTGCTGCTCGGGTTCCTCCTCCCCGGCTCAGCCTCTCGCATTTCCCGCAGCCCCGGGAGCAGCAGCAGGTACCGGGAGAGGCGGCAACATGGAGCGAGCAGGACACGCACTCACACACATACGCGCGAGCGCGCGCACCTCGGCGCGCAGGGGCCGGGCGGGGGGCGGCGGGCGGGGCGCGGCGGGCAGGCGGGCGGGAGGGAGGGGCCGGACCGGGGCGGGGAGGTGCGGGCGGGGCGGGCGGGCGGCCCTCGGGCGGTGCGGGTGTGGGTGCGGGCGCGGGTGCCGGGCGGGTGCGGGGCGGGCGGCGCCGAGCTGGGCGGGGCTACTGAGGGGGCACGAAGGGCGCCGGCCCTGGGGGTCTCCGCCCGCGCCCCTCCCCCAGGCCGCCCGCGGCGGGGAGGAGAAAGGGGCCGCGGCGCGGGGAGCGGCGGGCCGGCGGGCGGGGGTCGCGCCCCCCGCCGGCTGCCCCTCCCCCGCGCGGGCCGCGTCAGGCCGGGCGGCGGCGGCAGCGAAGTTTTGACAGCTGCTCCAGTTGTTGTGGGTTCCGGGCTGTGCGAGCGCCGGCCCCTCAGCGCCCGCTCCAGCCCTCCGGGCAGGGGAGGAGGAAGTTTTGCGGGTGTGCGTGTACCACACACAGACACACACACTCGACCGTGGCCGTCGCGCGAGGGCCGCGCCGGGTCTCCCAGAGCGCCCCTGCACCACAGACCTCTCAAACTCTCCGCCGTCTCGCCCACACACGGCCGCCGCGACGCCCCCGCCCCCTCCCCCACTCCGCCGGCCCCACCGCCCCCCGCTCGCCGCCGCTGCCACTCACGGGGCTCGCTCCGCGCATGCGCCGCCCGCGGACGCGCCGCCGCCGCTGACCTCACCGCCCCTCCCCCGCCCCCGCTCCCTCCTCTTCTGACGCGGCGGCCGGGCCGCGCCGCGACTCCAACTCCGGCTCCGGCTGGGGCTCCGGCTTCGGCTCGGGAGAGCGCCAAGCTGCGGATGAGCGAATCCGGGATCGGGGTCCGGGGAGTGCGCGAGGGAGAGCGAGGACGAGGCGGGCCGCGTCCGCGCTCCGCAGGCGCTCGGCCTCCGCGGACTGGCGGGCGGGTGTAGAGCTCGTCCCGCCCCGGCGCGCGGCGGGCCCGGGTTTCCCCCGCGCCCCGCGCCTCCACTCCCACCCCCATCCCCGGCGGGGCGCGGGGACCGGCCCGGAGGGGCTTCGCCGGGCGCACGTTCAGCGTTCGTTTGTTGTAATGCACGTTGGTGGAGGAAAAGAAATGGAGTGCAACTTCGTTCTACTCCAGTTCCAGGGATACTTTCGTTATTACAGCGTCGTTTTAAAAATGATCCGGAAAGGGTTTATAAAGCTGTCAGACAAAAAGAACGATGGCATTTTGAGGGATAAAGTGCTGAGAGACATAATGAACCAGTAAAACCCCGACAACTTGGTTTTAACGTTGGGTGTGTTGTGACGAAGAGACAAAAATGGAAAGACTTCTAAGCCGCCTCTTACACTACTTAAAAACGGTGAAGGAAAACTGGGGCTGCTAGGGTCCGAAATCTGACATGTGCGCTTAGGAAGGAAGGAAGGAGAGTTACAGGTGGGGAGTTCTGAGTTCCTTATTCTAACAGGGACCAACACTTGGACAATGTACTCTTCGCTGATTTCCTTCCCATTCACTAGGGGAGTGAAAAACATAGATTTGAATTGGGAAAAACTATTACGACCTATCAACCATTTGCAAAAGGATTGGGGTAAACTATCATCTTACAGGCTTAGACTCTAGGCCGGACACCCCGGGCACTTTCTGATTATGATTTCTTTCCATCTTCCCAACAGTTCTAGTGTAAGGTAAGAATAAAACGCGGTTTTTCCTGCTGTGTTGTTTGCCTTCCCTTCCCAATAGCCAGAACATAAACTCTGAACCGTATGTTTGTGTGTATTTGGGCAAACATGCACAGTTTCCAGAGCCTCTTCTGACTAAAGCATAGCTTCTTGAAAGGGCTGAAGTGAGGACCTCAATAAGACAGTCGTTTGAATCCCTTCAAGGTTTAGTTCCCGCTGGCTTTTTCAAGCTTACTAAATTTAAAATTTGAGATTGGGGAGAAGCTAGGCTGGTAAATGAAAACTATAAATTAAAAAAAAGTCTGACTATTATTATACATAGAAATACAACATATGCATGACTAATTTATGAAGTCATAAATTTATGAAGATGCATTTATGAAGTGATATAAAGTTTATTACTCACCCTTTTTCATTTTCTGTACATTACACTAAATAAAGTATACTTTCAAAAATGGGATTATCAATCCAAATGTTTATCTGTGTTCAGTACTGAAATTAGAAGAGTCATTTCCAACTGTGTGTTTCATATGCACAAAATTCCACATCAGGACAATTTACTTCAGTATACTCGTCAGCACTTGGGAGAATTTAAGGACCAGAATGTGCAAACTGCAAGTCACTCCTGCTGGAGACAAGTTCTTAAAGGAAACAACTAGGGACTGGGAACAGAAAAGTGGGTAGAATAAATGGAAGGGTAGAAATAGAAGTTTGTGCAGTGTTACTTCTTGAAGGATAAAAGATGATGAAGGTAAACCCAGCCTTAAATCTCCATTCCTTCGGCTACTGTGAGCAGACAAGTAGTTGGGAGCTGTTTTAAAAGGACAGATAGGAGGCTTATCAGCGTGAAGTTATTGCGGGCAGAGCAAACAAAATACAACCCAGGATGCAGAGGAAGTATTCAAGGAATACTTATTCAACTTAAATAAAGGTCTTTCAAAGGTTTTTCCATCTCTGTCATCCAAATTACACAGCTCTGAGACCACAGTGGCAAAAAATCCAGGAGGCAGATAGCTGAAGTAGGTTCCTCAAAATTATAAAACCAGAAAGACAACGAGCATCTGGAAGGACCAAGTGCAAAAAAAAAATAGAATGTCTACCTTCTAATAAGTACATGTTAAATAGGCACTTTAAAAATATGGTAGACATGCACCAAAGTGTTAACAGCAATCATCTCTAGAGGGTTGGATTACAAGGGACTTTCACTTTCTATATTACATTTTTCTATAATACATCAATCTTTCAGAGCACATGTAGTATAATCATAAACATGTATTAAATGTTTAAAATGTGAGTGGGAGTAAGGGTTGTTATCCTCAAAAAAGAAAAAGCAACATCTCATGACACTGTAAGCAAAGCAGATTCTCAAAGTGTCTAGCATACAAATGACAATGAATAAAAATTCATGGTACAGTAGACATTCTTCCTAATTGAAGGCCTAGAAAATGTAATTGATGTCTTTCTTGAGAGAGCAGTCTTTATCACTTTGTTTTAGTGAACATGAAAGTATTTATAAGGCTTTCCCAGAGATTCACTACTAAATGGTATCCCTCTCCTTGTTTTCCCATAGTCTTAAATTCCTCAGGGTTTTTTAGGAACCAAACTTTTACAATTGTGTGAAAAGACCGCTCAAAACGTAAATGCTAGATCTTATAAGATTTGTGTTCATATTTTTACTGTTAAAATTGCACTTTAAAAAGTTGCAGTCATAGGCTATCATTTTTTGTCCTTTATTTTTCAGTAAAAAAAATGTTTTTAGGGCTTCCCTGGTGGCGCAGTGGTTGAGAGTCGGCCTGCCGATGCAGGGGATGCGGGTTCGTGTCCCGGTAAGGGAAGATCCCACATGCCGCGGAGCAGCTGGGCCCATGAGCCATGGCTGCTGAGCCTGCGCGTCCTGAGCCTGTGCTCTGCAACAGGAGAGGCCACAACAGTGAGAGGCCGGTGTACTGCAAAAAAAAAAAAAAAAAAAAAAGTTTTAAAAAGAATTTCAACCACTTAAAATTAGTTCATATTTAGTCCATAGTGCATTTTTAGCTTTATAAATTCATATTGCTTTACATAAGTTATTTCAGTAATGCATACCATGTACCTGTGTGATAGAAAAAGGAAGAATCTGAGAAGGAAATAAAACAATCACCTTCAAAACTAATTTGTGTATAAGAGTATGAGGCATATGTAAATGTTCTACAGCACGTTTTATAGAGACATGAATCTTGCCCTGCAGGGGTCTATACTTTAAACCTGGCACTACTGAACAAGATAAACACAAAAAAGGCAATCAAGCAACTGAAAAATAAACATGGAAAAACACACAGGGACTTCCCTGGTGGCGTAGTGGTTGGGAGTCCGCCTGTCAATGCAGGGTACACGGGTTCAATCCCTGGTCCGGGAAGATCCCACATGCCGCAGAGCAACTGGGCCTGTGCACCACAACTACTGAGCCTGCACTCTAGAGCCCGCGAGCCACAACTACTGAACCCACATGCCTAGAGCCCATGCTCCGCAACAAGAGAAGCCACCGCAGTGAGAAGCTCACGCACCGCAACGAAGAGCAGCCCCGCTTGCTGCAACTAGAGAAAGCCTGTGCGCAGCAACAAAGACCCAACGCAGCCAAAAAAATAAAAATAAGAAAAACATACAAATAGAAAGATTAAATATTTACATCTACTGTGTAGAAGACCACAGTTTTTTAAAAAATGCATCTGGGAGTTTGGGGGGAAGGGCAGGGGTGGGAGAAGGCAGCAGACAGCCCTAGAAAAATGGTACAGATGAATCGGTTTGCAGGGCAGAAATAGAGACACAGATGTAGAGAACAAACATATGGACACCAAGGGGGAAAAGTGGCAGGGGGGGTGGTGTGGGATGAATTGGGAGATTGGGATTGCCATGTATACACTAATATGTATAAAATAGATACCTAATAAGAACCTGCTGTATAAAATAAAATAAAATAAAATAAAATTTAAATAATAAACAAAAATTTTTTAATGCATCTGGGAGTCTGGGGGTAAGGGCAAGGGTGGGATAAGGCAGCAGACAGCCCCCCTCTTCAGACACACACACACACACACACACACACACACACACTTCATTAGGTTCCTTCCTTCATTAATATACAAAGACTACTGTATTGGGTTCCTATAGCTGCTGCAAAAAGCTACTCCAAACAGGCAGTTTAAAACAATAGAAATGTATTCTCTTACAGTCCTGGTGGCTAATAGTCCAAAATCAAGGTATCGGCAGGGCTGGCCCCTCGTGGTGGGCTCTGGGAGAGAATCTGTCCCAGGCCTCGCTCAGCTTCAGGTGGTCGCCCGTGTTCCTGGGCATTTCTGCGCTTGCAGGTGCATCCCTCCAGCCTGCCCCCACCATTACATGGCCACCTTCCCTGTGTGTCTATTCCTCACACACGATGTTCTCCCGGGGTGTGTGTGTGTGTGTGTGTGTGTGTGTGTGTGTGTGTGTGTGTGTGTGTGTGTGTGTGTCTTCCCTTCTTGTAAGGACACCAGCCATATTGGATTAATGGTCCACCCTACTCCAGTATGACTCATCTTAATTAATCACATCCACAACAATCCTATTTCCAAATAAGGTCACACTCCGAGGTTCCAGGAAGAGTATGAATATTGGGGGGCACTATTCAACCCAATACAACCACCAAACCGTCTATATTGATGCCTACCCACCTTAGCAGATCAAAATCATGTTGTTAGAAATTTTTATATGCATTAACTGCATGCAAACTCTTCCTGGCACACGCACACACACACACAAATTATTTACATTTATTTTACATCTAATCAATTTATCCAAAGAATAAATAAAATCAATGTGAATTTAACAATGATAGTGTCCACATAGTAAAAAAGTAAAATTGAGATTTAGTAGCTCGTTGGTTAGTTTGATCTTTGTAGAGGTACCTCTACAAAATTTCAGTCCAAACTTTACCGTTGGCGGACTTCCCCAGCAGTCCAGTGGTTAAGACTCCACACTTCCACTGCAGGGGGCACAGGTTTGATCCCTGATTGGGGAACTAAGATCCTACATGCCTTGCACAACACGACCAAAACAAGAACCAAAACAAAATTTACTGTTTGGGGTGTTATGAACTGACTGCCTTTAAGGGTGCAAGGCAATAACTGGATCCTCACCTTCCCCTGTGCTGTGTAGTCACACAGGTAAGGATTTCACAACAGAAAATTATCTACTTTTACAATGGAAATGGAACTTACAGTCCCATGCATCACCCTTCAGGTTGAATTGTAAATTGGCATGGCTCACTAGGTCCTGGAGAGTCCCTGCTACCCTCCAGCCAAAGTTCTCCTCTCCTTTCCACCACACCATGAGCTCCAGCCTTCAGGAGGTGAGCCACAAACCTCCCCAGGCTGTCCCAACCCCTCCCACCCGCCAGCCCTTTGCACCTGGCCAATCCCACTTCTTGCTTTTATTTCCCCTTCAGCTCTCTTCAGACTTCACCTCACCCTGACCACCGTTCGTCCCATGATGAAGGTTGTGTGTCCCCCTGGATGCTTCTACAATACCTGTGCTTTCCCCATCACAGCTCTCATGCCCTGTAATGAATTGCCCACTTAACTGTCTGTATCCCAGCCTAAGCCCACTGGAGACACTAGCTGTCTGCCTTATCCACCTTCTATCCCTATTACTCAGCAGTGGCTCAACAGAGATGTGGAAGAAGTGAAATAAATGGCAAAATGTACGTTACTTTCAAGAAAAAGAGCTAAGATGATCCCTTACAGGAGTCTACTTGCAAAAAGAAACTGTAACTTTATAGACAAGGTATACGTGAATACTTTGCTACATTTTGTGTTGTTATATTTTACTTTTCTATAAGGGAACAGGCAAGTCCTCTTTGCCCCCTACAACCAACGTTTGTTATATGACACTCCTCTCAGTGTTACATGGAGGATCAAGCCTTTTCTAATGGAGTCTCTAAAATCAAAAGAGGTCAAGGACTTCTCTGGTGGCACAGCGGTTGAGAGTCCGCCTGCCAATGCAGGGGACACGGGTTCGTGCCCCGGTCCGGGAAGATCCCACATGCTGCGGAGCGGCTGGGCCCGTGAGCCATGGCCACTGAGCCTGCGCGTCCGGAGCCTGTGCTCTGCAACAGGAGAGGCCATAAGAGTGAGAGGCCCCCGTACCGCAAAAAAAAAAAAAAAGAGAGAGATCAAAATAGTTGTCCACGGGGACTTCCCTGGCGGTCCAGTGGTTAGGACTCTGCGCTTCCACTGCAGGGGTCACAGGTTCGATGCCTGGTCGGTGAACTAAGATCCTGCATGCCACAAGGTTCAGCCAAAAAAAAAAAACAGTTGTCCACGGTCTTCAGACAACATAATACCTCCTCAGAAACATTCGTCAGCCAAGATAACATTAAGGGAAAATTATTACAGACAAGCATATACAATATTATCATATAACTCACGTATGTAAAACTGTGTAAATCCACAAGTTATATATGCATATGTGTGTAAAGTAATAAAATTCATCAAAATATAAACAATGACTGTCTCTGGGCTGGGATTCCAAATGACATTTACTTTCTTTGTATTTTTTTCTTTTAAGTTGTATAATGAATATCATTTTTACAAAAGCAATCAAGTTGTTTTGCAAAGAAAAAGTTTTTTCTCCAAATTTATTTTTTTTTACGTATATATTTGTTTATGGCTGCGTTGGGTCTTCGTTGCTGCGCACGGGCTTTCTCTAGCTGTGGCGAGCAGGAGCTACTCTTCGTTGCGGTGTGCGGGCCTCTCACTGTGGTGCCTTCTCTTGTTGCGGAGCACGGGCTCTAGGCGCACGGGCTTCAGTAGTTGTGGCTTGTGGGCTCTAGAGCGCAGGCTCAGTAGTTGTGGCGCACGGGCTCTAGAGCGCAGGCTCAGTAGTTGTGGCGCACGGGCTTAGCTGCTCCGCGGCATGTGGGATCTTCCTGGACCAGGGCTCGAACCCATGTCCCCTGCATTGGCAGGTGGATTCTTAACCACTGCACCACCAGGGAAGCCCCAATTTATCTCCTTTTCAGCCTTAATTGTATTTAACTTTCACTGTGACATTCTTTTCCTTTTCTTTCTCACTATCTTCTTGTCTGTGGAAATATTAAAACAATGATGGAATTCATGCCCCCTGCAGTGGGAGTGTGGAGTCTTAACCACTGGACCACCAGGGAAGTGGGGACCAGGGACCAGGGAAGTCCCTCCCCTAATCTTAATATTTTCATCACTTCCTGCTGGTGCTCTGCCCAACACCTAAGGAAGCTGTACTCACTTGGTACCAATCTCTTTCCCTCACTGGTCTCACGTTCCTGCCATCTTTGTGACCACTGAAACAGAGTAGATGCTAAATATTTGTTAAACTAAAAAAGAAGCAATCGTTACTCCAGTAGGTGCCATATGAGGACAGGAGGAGCAAGAGAAGGAAGGAAGGAAGGAGGGAGGGAGGGAGGATGCAAGGAGGGAGGATGGAAGGAGGGAGCTCAAATTCTAAGGGCTGAGGGTGAGAGCGGGAGGGCCCCAGCCCCACTCACTCTGGTTTGCTGCCTTCCTGGTCACTTTCACTCCTCTGTGTCCATGTCTATTACTCTGTCTGCAGGCGGTCAGCCTCTTTCCCTCCCTTGTCTTGACCCACCTTTGCCAGCTCAGTGTCATCACCGTCATTGGGAAGAGTTGTCCCACACTGTGCAGCCTCACACATCTGCAACCGGAAAGACAAACAGACCAGCAGATACCTTAAGGAACCTGATGAGCAGCACAAACGGATAAGGTGGCCAAAGAGGCCGAGGCATACGGGTAACCAAACGTGGCTAGGATTACAGAGCACTGCATGAGAAAGTAAACAAAACAATTTCCCTCTCAAAACACAAAAAAGACCCAGAGACCAAACAAACAAACAACGGGAGGCACAGCTTCACCAGGAATTTGAAGTGGGTGGGTTTCCACCTGGTTTCCTCTTCCGTCTCTGAAGTTTAAATGAAACTCTGGGGCCCCGGGTACGCGTGTCCCCCCTCTGGGGTACAACCGGGCCTGACTTCCGCCTGCCCCAGGGCCTCCCAACTCATGGTCCATCCTTCTGTGACCTCATTCCCTGCCCTGGTTCCATGTGCCACTTGTGACTTAATCAAGATCAGATCTGTTTCAGCTACCAAGCCCCAGGGGCCCCAAGGGCCCCGTTCCTTTTCAGCCCAGTCTGGGGGTGCTTTTAGGGCTCAGCCTCAGCAGACCATTCTTGCGCCCGGGCCCAGAGCGCCGGCTTCTCCAAGCACCAGTTGATGGGTGTTTGGCTGCTTCTCCCACGGACCGCTCGAGGGGCTTCAGAGATCTCCTCCCGGGGCGCCTCGCTGCTGTTCTAGCGCCTGTCTGCGGCCGGGTGGGCCCCCGCGGGCGATTGACGGCAGAGCCCCTTCGGCGCCTGAGCTGCCCGAACGGCTGGTGACGGCGGCGGCCGAGGAGAAAAACCCGCTGAGCAGCTTGGCCGCAGCGCACACCTTGGCCAGAGTCCTGCGGCCCTGCTACGGCCCCCAGGCGCGGCAGAGCTCCTGGTCACCGCCAAACGAGAAACCGTGGTCACAGGGTACGGCACGGCCATCCTCCGGGTGCTGGAGCTGGAGCACCCCGCCGCCCGGCTGCTGCGGTTGGCGGCGCAGAGCGGCGACGGCGTGGCCTTCGTGGTGCCCCTGGCTCAGGCCCTGCTGGCGCAGGCCGAGCACCTGCTGCGGGAGGCCTAGGCCGCGGCGGCCGCCGAGACGCTGGCCCTGCTGCCGTCCATGGCCATCCGGGCGCTGGGGCCTCTGGAGGACCCGTTCGGGGCCCTGCACTCGGTGACGAACACGCACAGGCTGTGGCTGACTGACGGCTTGACCAAGATGGTGGCGCATGCGTGCTGGGCCACCCGGGAGCCGGACGGCGGCTTCCAGCCGGAGCGCGTGCGCGTGTGTGCGCTGCCCCGGGGCGCGGCTGGAGGACTCGTGCCTGCTCCCTGGCCTGGCCCTGCCCGGCAAGCCCTGCGGCCAGGTGGCCATGGTGATGAGCGGCACCAGGGTGGCTCTGATGGCCTGCGCCTTCGGCCTGCCAGCCCCATTGCCCCGGCCACGGCTCGTCTCTCTAGTCCTGACGACCTGACCGAGTTCAGGAAGGGCAGCGAGAGGCTGATAGAAAAGCAGGTGGCCCAGCTGGCAGCCGCGGCTATTAACGTGGTGGTGGTTTGGGGGAAAATTGACAAGGAGACCCTAACGCATAATGACAGGTGCGGCCTCATGGTGATTCAGGTGAAGTCCCGGCGGGAGATGGTGTACCTGAGCGAGGTGTTTGGCACACCTGTGATGCCTTATCTGCTTCCTCCACTGGTGCCAAGGAAGTGTCAGAGGGTGTACGGGCAGGAGCTGGGAGAAGGTTTGGCTGTGGTAATTGAGTGGGAAACTCCAGGCACCCCTGCCCTCACCATGGTGCTCAGGGAGGCCACCGGTGAGGGGCTACGGGGTGCAGAGTAGGCTGCCTACCAGGGCATTGATGCCTGTTTCCAGTTATGCCAGGATCCCAGACTGCTTCCAGGAGCTGGGGCCACAGAGATGGCTCTGGCGAAAATGCTCTCAGAGAAAGGAACCAAACTGGAAGGGCCTAGTGGTCCCACCTTCCTGGCATTTGCCCAGGCCCTGCAGTTTCTTCCTGAAACCCTGGCAGAGAAGGCAGGCTTAGCCGTCTCAGACGTGATGGCAGAAATGAACGGAGCTCACCAAGCTGGGAACTTCCTGATAGGAGTGGAGGTCGAAGGGATAATAAGTGCGGCCCAGGAAGAGGTGTGGGACACCCTAATAGCCAAAGCCCAAGGACTTCGAGCCGTGCCTGACGTGGTACTACAGCTCCTGACTGGCCATGACATTGTAGTAGCCAAGAAAAGTCCCACACCTCACCGGGACCTGAAACCTGAACCTAAGAAGGCAAAAGATCGCCCATACCCTGTGAAAAAAAGGAGTCCTTGGAACAAATAAGTGGCAACATCCTCAACAAAATGGGGTTGCCAAGGAGGGCATCGCCACCCCAAAAATGAACATTGCCTTGTATTGCCTCCACGTTTGCTCCTATTTGAGTCCATTTCTTTAGATAAAAACAACATCACCATTAAAGTCCTTTCCATTGATTTACTTCCTTTCAGATTCTTGGCTTTTTTCATTTCCTGTTTCTCTCTATCAGATTCTGTTCTTTCCTCCAGGATTCAATTCTATTAAAGATTTTTAAATTGAGTACCTGAATTTTGGGGATGCAAGAAAGGGTAGGTATCTCTTCCCAACTGTTTGAGTATTCCTGCATAAATTCTAAATTTCTAGAATTTCTGTCTAAATGTCACTTTAGCAATCTGAGAACCTCAGTTTCAGCTTAAAGGAGTGGCCGCTCATTCCTGTTGTGATTATTTCAAAAAAGGGAATGTTATTTTAAGGCAAAAAATCAATATAAAGGAGGAAAATGAGCTGGCAGGCAGAAATATATTTTTTAAAAAGCACCCTTGGCATATATAACAAAAGATAAGAACACACACCTTAGAACCGCACTACAGTTCCAGTGTAGGTGAGGAGTGCTGGGGAGCACCTAGCACCAGGTTATCCTGGCCAGGCTGTGATTATGCCCAGATACTCCTGGGCAGTAAAGAGAAGTTGAGCAGAGCTGGGAACATGTTACCCAAAACCTTTCCCACTTAACCATCCAAGTTACTCTGCCTCTGGGAAAAGAGCTGAACGTAGGGACAGAACTGAGGTGATGGGAAGCTGCAGTCTCTTAGAATCAAAACAAAGAAGCTTAAGCATTTGGAGAGAGAACCAGACTCAAGAAACAATTGTCTTATAGCAGGCATTATTAGCTGCAACAACGCAAAACAAATTGGCAAAGATTCTTTGAAACCCAGAAGTGAAATCCTGAGAAGTTGTTAGGATGGCAGATGAAAATGTATAGAACTATACTCGTTATTACTAACTTATACTAACAAGTTATATCTATACAACATCCTTGACGTGTCTTTCCTTGTTGTGTCTTCATCGTTATATTTTAGCGAATATAACGAAGTGCTGTCATATTTCTCCCCTGCCCTCAGGTTCCGCATTGTTCTCATAGACTCAAATTCCATAGTGATGATGATAGAGATAGGTAACTTTTTAAAGCAGTTCAAATGCACTTTGTCTTCATTTTATTTAATCATCAAAACAAACTTATGAGAAAGAAGCTTGTTATCCCTCAGTTGCAGGAGACACAATTGAGCTTCAGAGAAATTAATTGGCCAAATGTACACAGTAAATAGAAGAGGAAAACCCATTCTCTTATTCATTACTTTACTGCCCCAAATTCCTCTGTTGTGATGTTTTCAGAGATATAACCCCTATGATTATGAAGAAAGTATGTCTCAAAATGTAAATTTAAAATTTACAATTAGCGTTTTGTTTTTTGTTTTTTGTTTTTGACCGCACCGCACAGCATGCAGAATCTTAGCTCCCTGACCAGGGATCAAACCCGTGCCCCCTGAATTGGGAGCATGGAGTCTTAACCACTGGACTGCCAGGGAAGTCCCTACAATTCGTGTTTTTTAAATTAGACAAAAAGGCATGTTCACTTTGCAAGATAAAATAAGTAAATAAAAACAGCTCTTACAGAGAACATTTTAGTTATAGATCCAAGACATAAGAAGGCCAAACATGTAACTTAGTATCTTTTAAGTGCCCTAAATTTGATATACGAGTGATTTTTTTGATAACGGGAGAAATCATACTGTAACATTACCATCTCCTTTTCCCCTAGACATACAGATACACACACACACACACACACACACACACACACACACATATATATACACACACACAAGTTAAAATTAGCAAGGACAGCCTTACAAGTGATGAAGAAATATATGGCAGATACAAATTTAACTGGCTTATGCTGAGGGCTTTAAAGGTAAAAACATCTAACCCCAATTTGAAACCTAAAGACCCAGAGAATTCAGGCATCTCATGGGAAAGCTGGCAAGATCCTAGAGCCTGTGCTAAGGAGGCCCCTGAATCACCCTGGTTCCCATCTGTCCATGACTAGCTGGCCAGCTCTTCAATGCTGTAAACTGCAAAGTATCCTTCAGACAAATCTGCTTCCCCTTCTTGTTATCTAAAGAGCTTTAGGACTTCCCCGGTGGTACACTGGTTAAGACTCCGTGCTTCCAGTGCAGGGTCAGGGAAGTTCTGCCATGCCATGCAGTGCGGCCAAAAAATAGAAAATAAAGAGCATTAGCTGCTCCAGAAGAGAAAGAAACGTCATACAATGGTTAAGTTGACTACCGTGGGCAGCTAGCAGACACAGCTTGGGGAAGAGGACCAGAAGGGAGAGCTCAGTATGAGCTGAAAGTGTTTGGGTCTTTTTAGCATCAGTTGAGGGTCATCTCCAACCCTAAAGCCTGCCTTCTAAACCCTTGCTACTTAGCAGTGACCCCTGAAGCAGCGGCACTGGCATCATTTGGGAGCATGTTAGACATGCAGAATCTCAGCCGCCCCCAGCCCCTCAACAACCTACTTTGTCAGAATTTGCACTTTAACAAGATCCCCAGGTAACTGGGGTGCATATTAAAGTTTGAGAAGCACTGATGTAAGCTACACTCCCAGTTAGCTCTATCTTGATTATGCCTTGAAATCAAGTATACTCTAAACATCATATTTAAGCATTCTAAGTGTCAAAATGTCTGAATCGGACGTAAAGTTGTGTCCTTTCTCCTACTGACTATGGAGAAATTGACCAGAATTTGACCTCAATTTTACCAGGTCTGTCTGGATTCTGCTTCCAAGGTTCCAGCATCAAGCTCTCCTAGGATGCAGGGTCTCGAGTTCTCCAAGGGCCCAAGGACTTGGCTACATCTTTTTCTTCCAAGATGTGCTGTCTTCAGCTCCAGAAGCAGCTGAATTTCAAAAACAACAATTTCGGGAGCACATTCTCTATGAAACTTGAAGCCGGTGGACTTGTCTGTTCTTCTATCCCCAAACCTTCCAATTTAGTGACATTGTGTTGTGGGGTTCTGAGTTGACCCAGCAAGCAGAGAGCAAAGAAATAGGATCAGGAGAAAACCGGGACTGAAAACAAGAACTTCTGAGTCCTGGGGGGTGAAGAAGATGGTGGCTGGCCTGGGTGGGGAAGACTGGGGCTGAGTTGGGAGAACTACCCCATACTTCTGGGCACCTGTGAGCACAGACCCAAGACTGGGACCTACACAAATCCTGGAGTCCTGAAGGGACGAAAGTCATTGCTTCCAAACTGTGAAAAGAAGATTGCAACAAGAAAGAGCTGTCAGTAGTCTGTTCCAATCCTTTGTCTATTTCTGGACCTTTTCCCAAGAGGCCTTTCTCAAGAGATCCCCTTACAGCAGGAGCTCTGCTTTCTAGGCCTACAAGTCGAAATCCCTTTAGTGCAGAGGCCAAAGGATAGAGAAAGCTAAGACTCAAGAGAGAAAACAGAAGACTTCCAAACTGGGACATCTGAATGGGAGGAAAAGGGAAGATTGGGGCTCAGGGACTCAACCATTTCTTTTGCGAATGAACGAAACTAGTTTAAGAAGACTTGCTTGTACCCCTGTCAGCTGGACTGACGTAAATACACATGTTTGTAGCCCCAGGCCCCTCCCATTTCTGCCTGAGCCTTTCTGGAATAGAGACCAACTCTGGATGATGCTTCACCATGATGTGAGTGGCGTGGCATTGTTAAGTATTTACTGATGGGCTACTTCCCACTGATTTATTGAAAACTTCCCCTTGTACTCAGTTTCCTTGTTAAGGTAACTACCCCAGGGAACGTTGTCCCCAAAGTGCTAAAATGCTAAAAGCTGCAGTAGACACAGAAACCCAGAATCTCTGAGATTCCAGAAGTAGCTGAGTCAACTTTTCTCCCAAAATATCAACCTCCCCTCCCACCAAGCTGAAGATCCCCTTCCTAACTGGGGAGTGGGGGGAGAGGAAGATGGTTGGGGGAGAATGAGAGACATGCCGGCAGGATCTGAGAGGGGCTCTGCTCACCTCCTCATGGGCTCTAAGGAGTGAGATGAGGAAAAAGGCAGTAGAATCTCCAGGAAAGTTTGAGGGTCTGAAAACAAAGGAGAGTCTCTGCTTCTGGTCTGCAACCTGGAGCCGCCAAGCAGTGCCAACAGGATGGAGCAGAAATGACAGTACGGGAGGGGCAGGGAAGAAAGGGCTCTCCAGGGAGAGCAGGCAGGTCTCCCTGTGCCTCAGGAGGAGATTAAGAATTGACTTGGCTGGGGGACTTCCCTGGTGGTCCAATGGTTAAGAATCTGTCTTCCAATGCAGGGGACGCGGGTTCGATCCCTGGTCTGAGATCTAAGCCTGCGTGCCGCAACTACTGAGCCCCTGCGCCACAACTAGAGAGAAAGCCCGCGTGCCACAATGAAGAGCCCACGTACCACAACAAAAGACCCCACGTGCTGCAACTAAGAATAATGCAGCCAAAAATAAAATAAATTTTAAAAAAGGAACTGACTTGGCTGATCGACAGATGAATGGATAAGAAAGATGTGGTGTGTATATATATATATATATATATATATATATATATATATATATAAAATGGAATATTACTCAGCCATAGAAAAGAATAAAATAATGCCATTCATGGCCACATGGATGGACCTAGAGATTATCATACTAAGTGAAGTAAGCCGAAAAGAGAAAGACAAATACCACATGATATTACTTATATGTGGAAACTAAAATATGATGCAAATGAACTTATCTATGAAACAGAAACAAACCCACAGACATACAGAACAGACTTGTGGTTGCTGAAGGGGAGGGGAGGTGGGGGAGGGATGGACTGGGAGTTTGGGATTAGCAGATGCAAACTATCATATATAGAATGGATAGACAACAAGGTCCTACTGTATAGCACAGGGAATTTATATTCAAGATCCCGTGGTAACCATAATGGAAAAGAATATATATATGTGTAACTGAATCATTTTGCTGTACAGCAGAAATTAACACAACATTGTAAATCAATCATACTTCAATAAAATACATTTTTTAAAAAATTGACTTGATTTTAGTCTGGACTGATCAAGAAAAACCATGAAGGGACTAAATTTACCTGGAATTAACTAAATTAAATTCTACCATCAGGCAGAAAGGGAGCTGGAAAAAGAAATTTTAAGATCATTTAATTATAGAAATACATACTTCGAACACCTTGACGTTTGGGACTTGAGAATTCAAACTTTCTACAAATGTAAAGACTGAATGAGGAATTTGGACACTCCAGCACATGTCACTAACAGAGCTTGCCATTGATTACTGCAGAGCTAAGTAAGAGAGAGTAGAGGCTGGTTAGCAAAACAACGGCAATCTTTCTGTACTGCAGCACAGATTTGAGATGCAGTTTTATTCATTATACAGGTTAAAAACAAAATCATGGCTCTCTATAAGTTTTCTTCTAATTCACTGAATGCATCAGAAAGGAGAGGTGGATCCTGGTGAGTTTAGGCCAGATATGCCTCTCTAAACGTCACTGAATGCACAACGGAAAACATTTTCACATCCGGATCATTATGAATTTTTAAAAACATCTTAACCCCCGTGTACTCTGCCTCCTTTGCCCACTGACTCCAGAACCTAGCACTGCAGAGGGCCTCAGTGTGGCTGCTTACCTCCCGGGAAGCACCCGAGCTCTGGACAAGCACCCCTGCTCCACCCCTACCCCCAGAAGCGATGAGATCTGTCAGCCAGCCTCAGTCTTCCTTGCATAGATGCCAAATACTCTGTGCTTCACATTGTATTCCTACATTCATTTTGATCTAAAACCTCCTATTTCAATTTTATTAATGTAATTTGTTGACAAAAGGGGTAATAATCCATTGCAATATTGTTTCACGTGAAAAATAGTTTCCAAAATGACTTGCAATTTTTTTTACTAGAGTTTTTTTTTATATTTACATATTTGGTTGCACGGGGTCTCAGTTGCGGCAGGAGGGCTCCTTAGTTGCAGGTCCAGGGCTCCTTAGTTGTGGCATGCGGGCTCCCTAGTTGCGGCACATGGGCTCCTTAGTTGTGGCATGTGAACTCTTAGTTGCGGCATGAATGTGGGATCTAGTTCCCTGACCAGGGATCGAACCTGGGCCCCCTGCACTGGGAGCGTGGAGTCTTATCCACTGCGCCACCAGGGAAGTCCCTAGATTTTAATTTGAGAAAAATCTACACATGCCTTAATTCATGAAACTAAATAGAAAACGTTTCAAAATACACCCAGATGTTACTGAAATTTAGTCTTTTTTTATTGAGATATAATTGACATATAATATTGTATTAGTTTTAGGTATACAACATAATGATTTGACATATGTATATATTGTGAAATGATCACAATTACTTAACATGTATCTCCACACATAGTTACAAATTTTTTTTTCTTGTGATGAGAACTTTTAAGATCTACTCCCTCGGTAAACTTCAAATACACAATATTGTCAACTAGAGTCACCACGCTATACACTACATCCCAGGACTTATGTATCTGGTAACTGGAAGTTTGTACCTTTTGACCCCCTTCACCCATTTTGCCCACTCTCCACATGTACCCCCAATATCTCCACCTCTGGCAACTGATAATCTGTTCTCTGTATATTTGAGTTAGTTTGTCTTTTGTTGTTGTTCCACATATAAGTGGATCATATACTATTTGTCTTTCTCTGTCTGACTTATTCCACTTAGCGTAATGCCTTCAAGGTCCATCCACATTGTTGCAAGTGGCAGGGTTTCCTTCTATTTCATGGCTGAGTAATATTCCACTGTGTATATATACCACCTTTTCTTTATCCATTCATCCATTGAGGGACTCTTAGGTTGTTTCCATGTCTTGGCTATTGTGAATAATGCTGCAATGAACATGGGGGTGTAGACCTGTTTTTGAGATAGTGATTAAGCTTTCTTCTGATAAATACCCACAAGTTGAATTGCTGGATCATAAGGCAGTTCTATTTTTAATTTTTTGAGGACCCTCCATACTGTTCTCCATAGTGGCTGCACCAATTTACATTCCCACCAACAGTGCAGAAGTGTTCCCTTTTGTCCACACCCTCAGAAACACTTACTTCTGTCTTTTTGATAATAGCCAGGTAACAGACAGGTGTGAGGTGATAGCCCATTAGGGTTTCGATTTACATTTCTCTGATGATTAGTGATGCTGAGCACCTTTTCATGTACCTGTGGGCGTTTGTATATCTTTGAAAAAATGTCTCTTCCTCTCCCCATTTTTAATTGGACTCTTCGTTTGTTTTTGCTATTGAGTTGTATGAGCTCTTCACTGAAATTTAGTCTTTACTCAGATGTTCAGCATCACACCACACAGGTACACCCATAGAGATGGATATGCTAATGCCACAGTCAGAAATTCAGTTTTCCTGTTTCTGTGTAAATTTTTATTTTGCCCTATGCTATTATAGGCACTAAGTAGTAGAGAATGAGAATATCATCAATGATTTGAAATATAGAAATAGTAATGCAATAAATATTGTTGTTGTTGTTTTTGGCTGTGCTGCGTGGCTTGCAGGATCTCAAGTTCCCTGAGCAGGGACGGAAGCCCGGCCACAGCAGTGAAAGCCCAGAATCCTAACCACTAGGCCACCAGGGAACTCCCAGTAATGCAATATTTATTCAGAGAAAATATTCCTATGTGCCTTTTTGTTACATTTTTACTCCATTTTCTATTATATTACAAATTCATTAGGTATAATTGATTTTCTCCTCCCTCCCACATTTTATTTTCTGTGTTGTTTTTTCACTGGCTTATTTCAAACCCCTAATTGTATATTTCTCATCCATTTCTTTATTTCTTTGCCCACGGGTTCTACTTTTCCATCAATTCCTATGGGCTCCCATTACAACGAGTAATTAATCTTCTTTGCCTTTTATTTCATCTCTGGCTTCTTGAAATGCCTGCTCAACCTTGTTCTTTTCCATCTTTTCCATCTTGGGTAAGTTTTCTTTTGTCTGTCTGTTTGTCCGTTTGTTTGTTTCCTGGGAGTTTCAGAAAGATAATTCCCTATTTTCTCCCCAAGATCTGGATTTCCTATTCATAAATTAAATTTCTCTTCTTTCATTTTTCTCCACTCTCTACTGATCTCTTCAGCTTTTTACTTTCATAAAGTTTTTCCTCTACTGAACTCTCCTAAACTCTTATGTTGAACTTATCCAAATAATCCAAATAACAGGTTTCTAGAAGTGCTGAGAGTTTAAAATTTCCTCTCATTCTGCACAGTAAACAGTGGAGAGTTCTAGAAGTAAATGTAGCTGTTTATATTTCAAGTAATAGTGGGGTACGGTTGGATTTATTATGGCAATTTGAACGTTTATTAAGTGCTAACTCAGTGTTAAGAACTACCCTGATACCAGGATTTAACTCGGCCAACACTCGCCATTTAGAAGTATTAGAAAGTAGATGGAAGACAGCTAGGAAAGACCAGGGTCACGTGCTTCCACTGCTGCGGCCACCTACACCGTGACACTTGGTAGCTGATCAGCGTACTGAGCGAAGGAATGAATGAAGCTGTTTTGAAGCTTCAGGGGATGGTGTGGGACCCCAATCTCATCTCCTGTTGCAGCAGGGAGAGTAACTGACTGAGTGCCTCGGCGAGCGACCTTCCTTGGAATCCACCACCAGGATCCTCAGAAGGGAACTTGTGCTCCAGCACTCTGGCCCGTCTGGCCAAAGCCATCTCAGAGCAGCATTGCAAGCGGAGACCTGCCCATCCACTCTGCCTGCTCTGCCTCCCCTTCCCAGAGGTCAGATCTCCCTGCCTCTTCCAACTCTCTTCCTTTCTTCCCTCATAGATAGTTCCTCCCATCAGTCTCCTGCATGACAGTCCTATCTCGGCATCAATTTTGCAGAGGAGCTGAACTACAGAAATATAAGATTACCCTGAAATCTAGATTTGTCCTCCTAAGTGAGTGACCCTCCTCTCCTGAAAAGTCATTCAAGGAGAGAGAACTTCAATTTATAACCAACTACCTCACCCAACCTCCCACCCTTAGAGCCACGCCCTACACCAGTCCCCAAGGATATAACAGGGCCTCGCCTTACACCTTCCCCACCTCACCTAACACACACACACACACACACACACACACACACACACCTTCCTCTTTTGCAAGCGTTATTTATTTCTTTGAGCCAAGTAAGCTTATCCTTTGAATGTATTCTCCCTTTCTCCTCTTATTAAGGCATTGTTACTATATTAATGATGAAAATAAAATGCTTTGCATAAGAACAGCATTTTTGTTCTGAGCCCTTTGTAGAAACATTACCTCATTTGATCCACATAATAACTGAGACGAGCCGGGACCAGTATTATCCGCCCTACTTCACAGACGAAGAAACCGAGACCCAGACTAATCTCTGGGGGTGTCAGTTTCCAAGTCTGTCCAGTGAAGACTTGAACCCTATGGCCTCTAAGTACTCCTCCACTTCTAAAATGGTACCACTTCCATAATTTGTCTAAAGTTACAAAGCTAGTGGTTAGCGCTGGATTAGGGATCTGAGATGAATGCCTTCGGGTGCCAGGCGAACTCCCCCACACCACCTTGTCTTTGCTGACCACAGCGATGGCTAACACTTATGAGCTGGCCCTGTGCTAACTCCTCACAGGTGCACTGCTGAATACCTACTCGGCGCCCCACCCCCTCAGTACCCCCTATCTAAAAGGAGGTAGATTTCAGTTCCACACACACTTATCAGGAGCCGACCCCACCCTCATTCTAAGGATATGCTCTGGTTGGCTGGTAGGTTTAACCTGATCAAGGCTTTCCATTCTCCTGGCCAGAGTTACTGGTCTAGGGCTGGGCCCGGGCCCAGGCGGTCCAAGCAGGGTGAACTGGAGGATTCTGGCCTGGAACACATGACAGGAAGTGCACTCTCTCCTATTGAACATAAATTAGGAAAGCACTGGCTTTACTGCACCAGCAGCCTCTTCATGCCCCAGGGGGAAGCCGCAGGATTCTTCTTTGGGCTGATAGTTTCCAGCAGCTGAAACCTATGAGATGTCTACATCTCTAAAACTATAAGCAAACAACAGAGGCAAAGACCAATGAAGTCACTGAGAACCAGGGAGTTACTAGATTGGGCCAGACTCATAGCACCTGCTTGGGGCGGTTAGGACTAGATTTCACCTCTCCAACTACTGACCTGGGGTTCTCTGCGCCTCAGAAAGTAGAGGATGTGCCCCTGTGCAGGGGTCCAGACAGAGGGCTCACTGCTGAATGGAACCCCAGCAGTATGTCTGAGGGGGGAAGGGGAAACTGGAAGGGGCTTCCACCTATTCTGCTTTCCCGCCTAAGGTAGAACCCATGACAGGGCCCCAGCTGAGTGTGATGGCAACATGGAACGGAGACTCCTTAAGGAGAAGGCGCTGCCAGCCAAGTATGTGCCCACCTGGGGTCAGGGAGAGGGCAAGGCGGTGTCAACATGCTGTGACAGCTGGAGAAGAGGTGGGCAAATGGGTAGCCTTGGGGCAACAGGCCTTGTTTCTCACTCTCCTTCTCAAAGAACAGCCAGATACAAAGCACACAAAGAAACACAGAATAATTACCAAGAGAATAGCTATCTTTCCAACTCACTTACCTGTAGGTGCGTCTATACAATTCTGGCGGAACCAGACGTGAAGGACAGTTTGGCAAGTTCACTTGATCACAGCTAATGTACCATTCATATTTATTCATCAAGGATGTACTGAGTGCCTACTTTGTGCCCTGGAGATAAAGCTCTGAAAAGACACAGAAAAGGCACCTGTGTCCAGGAGCTCACTCTTAATGGTGGCGGGGAGGTGAAGGGGAACAGAACAGAACAAGTAAACAAGATGATTTCAGACCGTGCTCATGCTCTGAAGGAAACAACAGGGTGAAATGACAGTGAGTAATTGTTTAGGCTGGAGGGGTCCTACTTTAGATTCAGGGTCAGAAATGCCTCCTGGGGGGACATGGGCTAAGCCACGTGAAAAGTCTGAAGAACAGCTGATCCAGACAGGTCAGGAAACAGCAGCAAGTGCAAAGGCCCTGTGGCAAGAAGCACTTGGTGGTCATTGTGCAGTGACCAGAGGCTGGAAAGCCAGGATCCTCTAAGGCAGAACCTTGGAGGTCACTGCAGGAGCTTTGTAAAGACCCCCTGTGACAGGTGGGAATGTGGCTGGAAGCACCGGTCTGCCATTCTCCCGCGGATACTGAGGCATGATGAGTCTCCTGATGGGCCTCTGGAGTCTGACCTGGGTCTAAGTTTGTGATCGCCCTCTTTAATAACCTTGGGAAAGCTATTGGAGTTTCCCATTTGAATAATCAAGGATTTCTCCTGTTTGTAGCCAAAAGACTTGTGTGGGGATTTGCTCCAACCCTCAGCTTTATCAGACAGTTCATCCTTACGGTCAAAAGCAGTCATTTACAAAACTGGCAAAAATTAAACAAACACACACACCCCAAACGGTTATAGTAACAATACTGTATAAACAACCGATATAAGAGTAGCTTCCCCAGGAAAAAACTCATTACGTTGCTGCGCTAGTCAAGTTTGTCATTCGTCTCACAAGGTCCTTTAAGAACTCAATCTTGATCCCAGGGCTGGGTTTATCTGGGCGTTCCAGTTCATTTTCCGTTTCAAAAACGCAAAGCAATAACCATATTAACGTTGATATTTATCTTGTTTATCCCTGACTCTCCCTGTTACGCTGAGTTCAGGGGGACGGCGCGGGGGGGAAAGAGGGGATGGAGAAGGGGGGAGGAGAAAGGGGACGCGATGAAGACCTTACGGATTGGACACCGGGAGGAAACCTGCAGAAGGCAGCGATTTCAGGGAAGAAAGGAAAATGCGAAGTGACGCAAGGAGGAGGAAAGGGGCGGAGGAAAGGAGCAGGAGGGAGAGCGCGGGCAGCGCTGGACGCGGAGCCCCAGGGTAGGCGGGGCAAGGGGCGCGGGGTGCCCCCGGGCTCGGGACTCAGGCTCCCTGAGCGACGGAAGCAGGGCGGGGAGAGAGACGTAGGGGAGACAGTAAATACTGGGAGAGGAGAAGAGGCGAGGGACAAGAGCGAGACTTGTGAAGGCGGTCTCCCCGACTGAGGACGACCGCAGCCACCGCGAGCCGAGGGGCCTGCCAGGGCTCGGTTCCCCGAGAGGGGCCGCGGAGGGGCGGGGCGGCGGGCGTGAGGCCAATGGGAGAACGAACCGGGGAGGACCGGGGCGGGGTGGCGGGCGTGAGGCCAATGGGAGGATGAGTCGGTGCGGGGGTGGGCCACCAGGCAGCTCGAGGGCCAATGGGAGGGGAGCAGGGGAAGGGCTCTGGGCGACTCTAGGCCAATGGGAACCCGAGCCAGGGGCGAAGGCGGAGCGCCAGGCGGCGTAAGGGCCAATGGGAGGCTGAGCCGGGGAGCGCGGGCGCCCGTCCGGCCCAGCGCCGGGGGAGAGGGACCCGGGAGGCGGTGGGGGCGGGGTGCGGGGCTGACAACCTGTCAAATCCACTTTGGGACGAACTAGGTCACGCGCCTCCCGGAGCCAGGGCACCCCCGCCCCGCGAGGTCCGGCTGCTTCCTCTTCCTGCCGGCGATGGGGGCGGGGCGGGCGGCAGGGACACCTGCCTCCCCGGCCCCACGGCCGCTCGCCGCTCCCTGACGGCCGGGCCCACCGCGGCTGCGCAGTTGAAAATGTGTTGTCTCCCGAGCGGCCCTTCAAAGTTGAGAACTCCCATAGCCCCGGCCCTCCTCATGCCGCTGGATCGAGGGGCAGTGGGCGCGTCCCCGCAGGCCCGCGTTTGCGGAAGCGGGACGGCCGCGCACTACTTGGCGCGGAAGGACCCGAGGGCGGCGGAGGGATCCCGCGCTCGCCGACCCACGGCAGTCTGGGCCCCACGGCGTACGGCTGGCAGCTGAGCCGCGGCGAAGCGTGGGCGGTTACCCGTCCGGCCCCGACGGGGCCCGCCGAGTAGAGCTGGGGCGGTAGCCCTGTCGCGCCGCGGCCCTTGGTCCCCGTCACCTGTTTTCACCGGGACGGGACCCGGCCTCCCTCGCCGGGAGGCGGGCGGGCCGAGGAGGGCGCTTTGTGTCCCGGCGGCGGGACGGGTGGCGGGGGACGCGCTGTTCCCCCGTCCCTGCCCTGTTCGTCGTTTAGACACTGCTCCTGGCTTAAGCTGGGCACGTAGTTGTCGGATTGTTTCCAGGCGAATGAAATGAAATAAAAGCCTCAATTAGAAGTCAGCATTCATCCAGGTCCGGGGTTATAAATTTGCTCCAGCATCATCATGTAGGATTTATGCCCGTGTAGTTCTCCTGCTTAGACCATAAGTCCACTTCTCTTCAATATGGATCCACAGTAGAGCCGTATCCGTCTTTTACAGGTCTTCAAAATGGATCTTGATGCACAATCTGTTTAAGCAACACTTAGGTTAATGTATTGATTCCTTTCATTATATTCCTCGATGCAAGTTTGTTTAGGATTTTTGCATTGAATGGACAGTAAATGCAATGCTTTGTTTAATTTTTACTACTTGGCCATTCAAATTATGTTAATTTCCCCCCAGAACAAGATGATGCATTGTTTTAAGTAACAATGACCAACTCCTCTACTCTTTTACCAAATTGTATATAAGCTAATGGTAAAATGTAGATTAAAAACGTTAAAATTTGAACAATAAATTTAAATTTTTGACATAGCAACTATTTGAAGTGTTTCTTTGCAATACTACTGTGAAATGGAACAAAGAAAAAACAATTCCTTTTCATTCACATAACATTTCTTTAAGCAAATATTTCTTGAATATATTCAAGCACTGTGCTTGAACATTTGCATGTTTTTATACGCGAAGCATTGTGCTCAAACATTTTTATGACTTTACCGAATGCATATTTCATCAGTAAAAGAATTTTTTTTCCTTTTAAAGTTCAGGCTTTAATTAAATACATGTTAGCTACCACACTGGGAAGAAAACAATATACTATGTCATCTATGTACAGAATTACAGATGTACATTTTTTACATTTACCAGAAACATGGTCATCAAGAAAGAAAACTATGGAGAAAGTTAAAAAAAAAAAAAAAAGTAAAATGTCCTTTAAGTTCAACATAGGAGCTTAATCATTAATTAGCTTGAAGAACTACAGTATTTATTATTCTATAATATAGGATTATCAATAAAAGGTTGGGAAAGAGATGTCCAACCTTTTTTTTCCCCAACCTTTTTTATAAAAATTAAAATCTGGGAATTCCCTGGCAGTCCAGTGATTAGGACTCAGCGCTTTCACTGTAGGGCCCCGGGTTCCATCCCCTGTCCTGGAAACAAAGATCCTGCAAGATGCGCAGTGGGGCAAAAAAAAAAAGAAATTAAAATCTAAGAAAACAATAAAAAGATCTCTTTTAGGTTTCATTATAGCTCATACTTGATTGCCAGTTAATTTCCCAAAAGGGATAGTTTTTCTCTGTTTTGACCAATTGGCAACCCAACAGAGTTAGAAGCTCTTAGCCCACATTGGGGATACTTTTTAAAAAGTAGTATCTTTTCTTACTTCGAAAGTTTTTTTAATTAATTGCGACTGAAAAGTGGGGTTTTTTTTGGGAGGGGTCATATTTTTTAATGTTAATACTCTCTAGTAAGACAATAAAAGCATGTGTTTTTCTTCAACAAATGAACCACAAGATTGTCTATTGAAAATCAACACTGAAAACATGAGAATGAATTGTATACCCTTATACAAAACTTGCATGCTGGAATTTAGCCACTAGAACTAGATATATTATATCACATTAATGAGTAAAACTAGAGATTTTTAAGTTTAAACAAGTGCAATACTAAAACAATCATCTTGCTGCTTTGGGGTATATTTTCAGTCCTTTAACAAAGGGTTAAAAACAGCATTTCTTTAAATGAGTGTTTTGATATGATGTGTCACATCTTTTTTTTTAACTTCTAATTTCATAAGAAAGCTAATTCCTTCCATTTCTCTCCTCAAATATGAAAATTAGAAACATGCTGCCTTAATTATTTCTTCTGTTATATCCCTTATTAGCAAATTCTTTTGGAATAGAGTGGGGATATTAATTACCTTTATACATGGAGTTACTGTTTTGCGTAAACACTACATGCATAATTCCCTCCTGTAAGGAGGATTTTATAATTCCCTACCCAAATGTCTGGGCACAGTTTTATTTCTCAGTTGGTAGTACATTTCTTGTACTAGAAGGAAAGAGTAGGCAACCTCTTTACTTCTTTTGGGGAGGAGGGTGGGGGGCTTTACCACAGTGTAAAGACATCCTCAGGGTAGCTCAGCCTAGGCTGTGTGATTGGAAATTCAGCTTGGACCAAAAGAGGTGACAGGTTCTGTGAGTGTGAAGCAAACGCCTTGAGTTTAAGGTTGCAAACCAGTGGTCTGCAGAGGTGTTTTGTTTGCCTCTCACAATGTTTAGAAATTTTAAAATTCGTTTCCAAGATTTAAAAAATGGGAGACTTCAGATAAATATACAGAATTGTAGCTTCTCTTGAAAATTAGACAAATATGGCTCATTTCTTGCCTGGTTACATGCTGCTCTAGCTGACTAGCTGCTGCCCCCTTTAGACGGGGTGTACACGCTATACGTTGGGCTCAGTGCAATCATTCATTTTAGCCACCTGGCCACTGGAGGAATGAGTATTTGGAATACCTGCTCTAGGTTATATAAAATTGTGAAAGTCTTCACCACAGAGAGAAGTTAGACTTAGGAAGAAGAGATGATCTTAGATTTTTGTTCTAAGTAAATATAATGAGCTCAGAAATGAAAAGCTAGTGGAATTATATGTGGCAACTGGCTGCATCCCATTATTCCGCTTATTGGTCCCCTGGCACAGGGAAAGCTCAGGTTGTATCAAGTTAAGTTTTTAATTAAAAATGGAAATAATGTTTTTCGTGCTGTACTTTCCACTTACAAAGTCACTGCCTTGGTTCCAATGAATTTCACTGGAAGTCTTGGCTAGTAGAACCTAGGAATAGCAGTCAATTGTGAAAGATTGTGCAAGAAGGGATTCCCCCAAAGGCTACAGAATAACAAGAATGATAATGACAACAATGTCTTGACATTACTGAGCAATGACCATGTGCTGGACACTGTTCTAAGTGCTTTACCTAAATTATGTCTTGTTATTATATTTTATTTTATTTTTGGCCATGCCATGCAGCTTGTGGGATCTTAGTTCCCCAACCAGGGATTGAACCGCACCCTTGGCAGTGAAAACGCAGAGCCCTAGCCACGGGACCACCAGGGAATCCCTCGTTATTAGATTTTAGTTTCCTATTTGCTACCTCATCTTTCTTTTTTGTTGAAGCTGCCTTGAACCCTCTAAGACTCAGGCATGAGGTGAATGCTCTCATTTACTATAGCATAGGATGGCACTAACCTTTGCCTATATTACTGGTCCTAAAAGTACCCAGATGTCCTTTCTTTTCTGCCTTTCCCTGGCTGTACCCCAACCTTGTCCTCTCTTGGGCCTTTTCCTGCCATGGTCTTTGTGTCTCCCTATTGGAATCAGACTTCTCACCTCAGCAAGAAATATTCCCTTTCTAGGGCAGAGAAGAGGGAGAGTCAGCCAAGACTGGGGCAACAAATGTGATAGGAAGAGAGAGAGGAGTAAGCTGGACAGCACTAAGGACAGATAAAGGGAGATAGACACACAACAGCCACCACCCACACTCTCCAACCAGGACAGCATCATCATCAAAACCAACAACAAACCCAGTAAGAACAGCAGCACACTAGAAAAGGCGCCAAGTTTGTGTTCAGACGGATTATGTGTTTGATGATTGTTGGGAGTGTGAAGTAGACCAACTCAGCAGAGTTACATTTAGGTAGAGTCCAGATACGACAACGGGGAAAAGTTTAAATAAAATTGTACTTTCATAGAATGTTTATGAAAGTTTTAATAAGATGGCTCAATACCATATCAGATGAAGAAAAAGCCAAAAAAAATTATATACAAAAACATATTTAGGGGAATTCCCTGGCGGTCCAGTGGTTAGGACTTGGTGCTTTCACTGCCATAGGCCTGGGTTCAATCCCTAGTTGGGGAGCTAAGATCCTGCAAGCTGTGAGGTGCAGCAAAAAAACAAAACAAACAAACAAAAAAACCCCAGAATCACACACACACACACACACACACACACACACAACATATCTAGGAGTTAAAATACTGTCCCAGATTTTTAATCGATTAAAGTATTCTATAAATATATTTAAAAGGCTAGAAGAAAATATGGCAAAATAGTAGTGGTTCCAGATTTCCAAAAATTTTCTAGTGATCATAAAGTACTTATATAAACAAAAGAAGATAAAATAATTAAGAACCAGGGGAAAAATTAAAAATCAAGCTGAGGGACTTCCCTGGCGGTCCAGTAGGTAAGACTCCGAGCTCCCAATGCAGGCGGCCCAGGTTTGATCCCTGGTCAGGGAACTAGATCCTGCATGCATAACACAACTAAGAAGGCTGCATGCCTCAACTAAAGACCCCACGTGCCACAACAAAGACCTGGTGCAGCCAAAATAAATATATAAAATAATAAATAAGTAAATATTAAAAAAAATCAAGCTGAGAATGTACCTACTGAGTTTTAGTTCCATGAGAGAGACTAAAAACTTATACTACCTTTATAGATGTTACCATCTCCAGATCTCAAAAATGTTTTCCAATGGTCTCAAGGGGACTGGGCGAGAGGACAGATGGCTGAGCAGAGCCTACTCCCAAGGGCTGGAAAAGAAACTTGAAGTATATGTCCTACTGATGCCACATCTGTGATACCAGCATTGAGCAGACAAGGATGGCATATAATATTTTCCCCTGCTGGAGCTCTTAAAGCCTGTTGGCCCCCACTTCCTTTTAAGAAGGTTGAGTGTATGATCCAGAGCAACTGAGAAGTTATGTCAGCTTGCTAGGGCTGCCATACGAAGCACTGACCACAGGTTGAGGGGCTTAAACAGCAGACATTTATTTTCTCACAATTCTGGAGGCTGGAAGTCTGATCAAGGCATCCACAGGGTTTGTTTCATCAATGGTCTCTCTCACTGGCTTGTGGGGGACCGCTTTCTTGATGTGTCCTCTCGTTCCTCTGTGTCTCTGTCTGAAGCTCTTCTTATAAGGACACCACTCAGATTGGATTAGGACCCACCTTAATGACCTCATTCTAACTTCATTACCTCCTTAAAGGCCTACCTTCAAAACCAGTCACATTCTGAGGCCCTGGAGGTGAGACTTGAACATGAGTGTTGGGGTGACCCAACGCAGCCCGTAACAGAAGATGTGGGGTAGTTTGGAGGAGGTGGCAGTACTTACTGAGACCCTTGGATGATTACCCTTGAATCAGAAGGATGGATAGGAGGTTGCTTGGGTACTAGTAAGACAAGTGGT